TGTTACCCTGATTGATCAGCGTGTACAGACACTAGTAACTGCAACCTCTTTCTCCAGGATGTTTGCAGCCTGAGGAGTTCGCGCACCCTTTCCGACCCCAGCCTTCTGTACACACATCTGTCAGGGTTCCAGGACCCAAGCCAAGTGGGACAAAGCACAGCTGTTGTATCGGCATGATTTAAAGCTAAACACTGTTATTAAGTGAAAGTGTTTTGGGTCAGGGTTTATTTTGTAACATTTCACAAGCTACAGATTACATAGACCTATCAAGAGAAGGTAAAAATTAACATGGAGTGTGGTGGCACATGCCTTTAATCCCAGCACTCTGCAGACAGAGAAAGGCAAATCTTCATGAATTCATGTCTATCCAGGGCTATGTAGCAAGGCCCTGTCTCTAAATAAATGGATGAATAAGTAAAAGCTAAAACTTAATATTAATTTCTTTGAACTTTTATAGTTTACTCTTTCTAGAACTTGGAGCTGGAAGGAAGAACTGATTCTTATAGTGGGGTGCTCTGCTAAATGAGCCCCTGGAAATCCGCATGCTGAGTCTCCCCTTCAGGGTGGTGGAATTTGGAGCTAGGTCTTAGAGAGTGGTGAGTTCCTGCAGGATGGGGCCCTCACACATGGTGTTGGTACCCTATGAGAGGACACTAGACTCTCCCTCTCTGTCTCCTTCCTCCTTCCCTCTTCCTCTCCCTCTCACCCTGCATTATGATACATGGCGAGAAGATGGCATTTTTTGTAAGGCAGAGTGGTCCCTCACCAGACATGGATCTTGGATTTCAAAACCTCCAGAGCTGTGAGTGATAAATGTTCACAGTATAAGCTGCACGGTCTGAGGCACTCTCTTACAACAAGTGTGAACTCAGACAACAAGGAAAGGCAGGAGGAAGCTAAACTGCTCAAACACCTGGAAGGCTAGATGCCACTGTCTCTGCTTCCCCTTCTAGCTCGGCATGCGTACTTTGGTAGCTTCTGCGGGCATCCACAGTGCCCTGCTGAGGTCTATTCCACCTGCCTTTGGTGAGGGCTCCAAGGATCCCTCTGTTTCCCTCACAACCTTCTGGTCATCCTCTTGGGGAACAACATTGGTTGGTTAGAGAGTAGCAGCTTCCAGCATGCCCTGACCACCTCAGCCTGAGCCCCAAGAACAGACCCTCACATCAGGGAGTCAGAAAAGTCTCTTGCAAGGCTGAGCTGTAGATTCTCAGTCAACCCAGTCACTAGGCACCACAAGCCCTCGGAGTCTCTGAGTGTGTGTGGGGGGGAGGGGGTGCTTACTGCAAAAAAAAAAATCTGTCAATGTGGGGAAGTTTCAGGAGAGCTAATTAAGTCCCTGTCAGCACAAGTCAGTGAAAGGGAGCCCTGGCAGGCCCCACAACTCCATGGCGAGTCATCGCCTTGAGCGAGAGTATGAATATGAATGCAGAATTACCTGGAGCTGCTCATTAGCCAGACGTCTCTCCCTGAGGTAAAAGCTGAAGTGCAGGGCTGGGGGCAGAGCTTGGTGGTAGAAGGCAGGCTTGCTTGGCTTGCATGTGCAAAGCCCTGGGTTCCACCCTCAACTCTGCAGATCCCTAGGACAGCTCAGGAGGGAGGCTCGCCCTGTTCTTCCTAAAGTCTGTGGGAAGACCATGGTCCTAACTTGCTTGTTCATTCATCAGGAGCTTTCTGACAGAAGTTCAAGGCATGAAGAGTCTAGCTAAGCACAGTCCAGTTGGGAAGGGTTCAAAGTAGAAAGTGGCATTGTAGGAGAAAATACCAACTGAAGTGTGTAGGTGTCCCAGGGCTCTGCCTAACAGCCAGGCGGGCGATGCCTGTGTAAAGAACAGTCTACTCCTGAGAGGATTCACTCAGCGCAGAGGCATGGAAACACGCTTATGGGGCTAAGAATCAGATTCCGGCAGACAGCCCTTTATTTGATGCTCACACAGACTGTTGGGTTTCTAAAAGGACTCCGCCTGCCTTGTTCCACAAAGCCACCCACCCATGCCCGTGAAATACAAACAAGCATTTCCTAACACCCTCCATTCAGATTTTTACATCTTACGAGTTTTCCTTTTCTTTCTTTTTTTTTTTACAACCTAACTTTCAGGGTTTGATCCTTCAGAATCTCAGACTCCCAGGAGCTGTGTTGAAATGGAGATGACTCAACTTTTCTCAACTCAGAAACTCTCATTTTACACAGTGTTAACTCTTAACCTCCAAAGAATGAGAGGAACGCAGCGAAATAATGCAACAATGACAGGGATGAGGAGAAAGGCTCACAAGGAAACCTTGTAGAAAACCTTGTAGATGCTTCCCCAGTAAGCGCTGACCTCATTTCTACCTCCATAGGTGAAGAGCAGGGCTTTTCCTTAAGAACAGTAGGATGACATGCCCATTGTGGTGTTTGACTTTAATGCCAATGCTTGAAGAGGCAGAGGAAGATGGCTGTCCCTGATTTCAAGGCCAGCATGGTCTACATTTGAGATCTAGGCCACACAGGGCTACAGTGAAACCCTGTCTCTAAAACAAACTGGACTAAATTAGATGGGATAGCTCAGGCTTGCAATGTGAACAGCTCAGGTGAAGTGAGTGTAGGAGAGGACTGTGACTCACAGCTACCAGGGACAGTTACAAAATCAGCAGTACCCTGTGAGGTCTTCAACTCACCTCAGCTCTGATGTGGGTCCCTTGGCCATCCTTCACTCTTGATGAGAAACCCAACTAGAGATGTGACACGTGCCTCAAACGTAAATGCCTTAGAAATGGAGCTGAGCTGTCTACAGACGGGTGGTCCTGCTTTACCCCAGTGACACAGCACAGGCCAGGGGAACTGCAGTCAGTGGTTTACATTCAGTATCTCAGTGTTTACCGCGATCCAGAGTCCAGGCCAGTTCCGCCAACTGGAGACCCTGATGGAAAAGCCGAGGGATCCTTGACGACTGCACACTTTCCGGTGAAGCTAATGAGAAGAGAACAAAGGGAGGGCCATGCAGGGCCGGCACTTCCGCACAGGGTTCTGATTCTGAGAGTGGCAAGGACAGGTAATTGTTCTTTACCGACACAAACCACCATCCTTCTCACAAAGCCTTCCAGTTTGCTGTGCGTTCAGAGTATTTTGAGGGGCTGCAGGGAGGACGTGGCAGTTAAGAGTGATGGCTGTACTTGCTCAGCATGGTTCTTAGTGTACGCATTGGAGAGCTCACAGGTGCCCATAACTACAGCTCAGGTGGATCGAATGCCCTCTACTGGCCTCCACAGGTACTTGCACGCACGCGCGCACACACACACACACACACACACACACACACACACACTCCTCACTCACATAATTAAAAAAAAAGAAGATAACAAAGTTTGTTTTGTTTTGGGGACAATAGGGTTTCTCTTTGTAGTACTGGCTGTCCTGGAACTTGCTTTGTATATACTAGGCTGGTATAGAAGTCACAGAAATCCACCTGCCTCTACTTGCTGGGATTAAAGGCATTCACTACCACAGCAGAAGGTAACAAAGTATATCTCCTATTTGCTCTATAATTGCTCCAGCATTATCTAGGTAGTCATCTTATCACAAAACAATATTTCTGAGGATACATATTCAGACGTAAGTGGAAAAGTCAATAGATACTATAAATAGCCTTCCATCTATTTAGATTAGGCCTTGCAACCCAGTAGCTGGCGCCTAACCAAGAGAGCACTCTTGCTTCTAAGAGAGTTTTTAGATTTGTAATTACAAACAATAAATTTGGATTTATGTTTGTGTATTTCTGCAATTCAATAGTTGATTTACAATTTCAATACTAACTTCCTCAGGCAACTTGTGAAAATACAATGTTGTTCTGAGACAGTGTTTTCATATATAAAATGTCACCTCTAATGAAATCATCACACTTCTTTGTACCTGTCACATTCTGGTAATTTTATTGTGATTTCTGTATTGCATTCTCCTGCCCCAAGCCCTGGAGTGCTGGGATTACAAGCTTCCAGCAGTGCCGGGGACAGAACCTGGGGCTTCTGGCCTTCTAGGCAGGCACCCTAACAACTGAGCATCAGTGCCCCTGACAAGTTTTTCGAGTTCAATCTTTTTCTCATCTGAAGATTTTTTCCTTGCTATTTGCCTGACCTTCAGGGGTCATCCATTAGCAAGTGTTTCTGAGCTGCACCTAGAGAAACCAAGTCTGGCTTAAGTAGAAGAGACACTATGGGAGCCTATGAAACCTAAGGGACAGTGAAGGATGGGACTTGGAAACAGTGTGGAAAAGAGACTTTGAATTCAAGCTAAGGGACAATTCTATCAAGACTTCTAACCTTTGTCTTTCAGAATCTCGAGTGTGTGGCTGAGTGCAAAGCTGTGTGCATCACTCATGTGGGAGACGGTGAGAGGGTGGGTCCATCCTCCTCAGGAAAGGGTGTTGCTGGCGTGGGAAGGGTGCATGCAGGTCCGATGGCAAAAACATACAGCCCAGTAGATTCCAACATGTTTTCCAAATACCACTCTTAATTCCTAGTCTTTTAAAATGTATGCGGAGTATTTTTAATACCACTGATTGACAGATGGATTGGTCTTTATTTCCACAGGCAGATCAGTTACACCCTTTTGATTCAACGTCTCATCTTTCTCTTGAGCATGGTGACTGGCGATGTTTGTCACTGTGCTTCACTTTGTTACCACACACGGGTCCTTTTCCTAAGGATGCTTTGAGGAGCACTATAACCAAGGGACACAGCTGGAAGGAAGCCTAATCGTAGAAACCACATTGCTAATAAAGGACCCATCTGAAACCCACAGAAAAAGCAAGCATGTGCACCAGGAACCAAGAAATGAAAAGTGTAAATGAACGGTCTTCCTTCCTTCATTGACTGCTTAGAAAAATTGAAAGGATATAACAACCTTCTGTAAAACTACATTTCACTAAGTGGCTTTTGGAATTGCAAGGAACAGTATGGAAGGGATCTCTGATGGGTGCACACCATTGCAGCTTGGGCTTTTATAAGACATACAGAGTTCTTACCTGATATTCGTACTCTGTGAAAGGTAATAGCTCCGAATCCGCAAACCAGTTTAAGCTTCCATTGTAGGTTAACAATGGACTGGACTTTCCAGGCTGGGTTGCTATTTGTCTTCTGTATAATTCAAAGTATATGATTTTTCCACTGGGCTTAAGTGGTCATGCCCACCACACAGCTACTCTGGGCTGGAATCCTCCGAAGCTGTCTGCACTTCCAGATGTGGGGCTGGTCACATCAGAGGGGACCTCGTCTGAGTAGATGCCTCCAGATGTGGGGCTGGTTGCATCAGAGGGGACCTCGTCTAGGTAGACGCCCCAGTTGCTGGAAGCACATCCTAGGGCATTGCAGGCTTGGACGGGAATTTCATACCTGCAGGAAACAAGGTAGAATCATGAATGATTTTTAGATCTCTCTCTGGGACAGCTTTTTAAAAGACCACATGTTTTCAGAAAAAAGGAAAAGGTGTTTATATTTATGAACAGCTAGCTTTTAAATAATGATAAAGTTTTGTTTTTATGGAAAGTTTTGAACTGTTTCAATCTTCTGATTTGCAAACTCAAAGAAAGACCTCCATCTGTTTTGGGAGTGGTCAGCTCTTGCCTAAACTGGGATGCATGGAAGGAAGAAACTCTAGGTCTGCTCTCCAGCAAGAAAATCCTAGTCCTATGCGAAGGTACTTGACACAGCAGGGAGGGATACAGCTTTGTATGTGACCCAGACTCCTCCTACCTGTGTAGCCAAAGCCAAGCTACTCCCTGGGAATGCTTCCAGACTATGAAGGGACATTGCCGAGTTATGGTCTCCATGGTAATGGATCTTCTCACTTGATACCTGACATCTTAAAACAGGCTTCCTCAGCCCGAACAGAGACCTCTGGGGGGCAAAGTTAACCCCCCTCACACACTAGATTATCCATCACAGAGACACCTTATCACCACCCAGCCAAGATCTAATCAATTATGTTTTGCCTCATAGCTGGTATCTACCACTTGGAAAGGCTAATTTCCAAGGCAGAACCTTTTCCTACATAAAGGCCCCTGGTTAGTGCTGACACCCCTGTCTGCCAGCAAGCACTCGCTGTTCTCTCCCCAGGCCCCATGGACTTCATGGCCCAACCTTTCCCTCAAGCCCACGGCTGCCTCTCTTCCCTGTCTACTCCTCTTGGATCCAGTCATCTCTTGCTCTTTGGGGCTTCCTCTCCCCTTGTCCCTACTTTGTGCTCTAGATAGCTTTCTGGTTTGCATTTTTGCCTTCTTAATTATGCTTTTCATTTCCTTTGTGACTTTGTGAATGTTAGCATGAACTGTCAGCCTGACAGGATCTGGAAACACCTAAGTGCAGAGCCTCTGGGCACACCTGCGAGGGATAATTAGCCTCTGGGCATGCCTAGGCGGGGATCGTGTTGATTATGGAGGTGGCAAGACCCCTCCCCCCAACAGGAGCAGGGCAACACCATTTCCTGGGCTTGGGTCTTAGACTCCCCAAACTTGAGAAAGTGAGTGACCTCAGGCACTTTACCCTGCTACTTGACTTTGGATACCTTGTGACCAACTGCCCTCAGCCCTTGCCCATGCAAGTATGGCGGATTCATGTGTGACCCCAGGTAAGCCCCTCCCCTCTGAAGTTGCTTTTGTCAGGGTGTTATCACAGCTACGGGAAACGTAACTAAAGCTGACTCCTTTCATTCTCCCTCCCTCTCTCCTCTCTCACACGGCTCTGTGCCAGCATGTGCCCCTTGAGCAGTGAGCAGATCCACCAGTGTGTGTGCGGCGGGGCTGATTGATAAGCAGAGCTGTGGGGTCAGTTTTGACTTTCCACATAGGAATGATTTTTCTCAGTTATCTGTGACTGGTTTTAAAGTCCAAGGTCACGTGACGGACGCAACTCCATTGGTAGAATGTTCACCGAGAAGGGATGAAGGCCTAGATTCAGCCCCTAGCACTGTTCCATCTACACAGTAGTGCATGCCTGTAACCCCTGCGGGGGGGGGGGACCAGAAACTCAAGGCCGCCCACGCTGTGAGAGACCTGCCTAAACAAAACAACAGCAACAAGAAAGCTGGATCCGGTGGCACAAGCCTGTAACTCCAGAGCTTGGGAGGAGGAGGCAGGAGGGTCAGGAATCTACATTCATCCTGGCCGATGTAGTGAGTTCTAGTCCTTAGTGGGCCACACAGACGTTCTCTAAACAGCAACAAAACAAAGTCCTGGGCCACTTTCTTTCTGGTTCTCGAAGACTCCTAAACTGCTTCCTGCTGACCAGCTGGGGGTACTCAAGGATGAGCACACTGATTTTCATCGTTTCTAGTAAGTATCAAATGCGGTTTAGAGATCCACAAAATCCCAAAGGACAAGAAAGCAACTGGTACAGCTTTGGTGCTCTGTCCTGTTTCACCAGGCCTCCGCGGTTAGAGGGCTCTGCCTCTCCACGCACCCTTACGCGTCCCTGTGAGGACCGTCACAACAGACTTTTCATTTTCCCCTAGAAGGAGTGTCACTTTGGCATCCAGGGAGCCATTTTCTCCATTTGAGATATCAGTGCTCAGAGGGGGCAGGATGGACATGGTTTTAGTAAAGAGGAAACCCTGACAAAATGCGCGGCTTCACCCTAACACGGGCTTTTTAGACACCCTCAGTAGCGGAGATAAAAGCCAACTCACATAGCATGTAGATTAGCCATGGAGAATACCTGAGGAGCTTTTAATTACCGTTTAATATTTAATATGATGCTAAATAATTGCCCTGAGTAGATGCATAAGACCACGGATGCTTTACTCTAACAGCACTATACAGAGGGATAATCGTAGCTGCGTCTAATCTACACACCGGGACATCATAATCGTAGCTGAGTCTTAGCTGCAGTGGCTGGACATTAACGTTTTTGCAGACTTCAATATTTTTTTTATTTTAAAAAAGTGATTCTATTCATTTTACTAAATTTTCACACAAAATGTCTTTTATTAGTCTCTCTCTCTGGGAATGTCAGGAACCTGGAATGGGATGAGGGGAAGTATGCAGGTGTTCAGAAGCTCCTAGAAGAGTGTCGGTGTAGGCACCTCTGTGCGTATCACAGAAGAGGGGCTAATCTAGGACGACACATGTCAGCAGAGAGTCACCATCTGAGAAGTCATAAGTTCAAAACTGAGGGAGTTCTGCAGTGGACACGGAACTCGCAGACACCATTATCCCAGGAAGAGGTGTTAGATTTGAATGAAGGAGTTAGATTTGAATGAAGGAGGGCTAGTCTCTAGACAAATACTGGTCCAGTATTCTTCTGATATATTTTAGCACACTCTCTCTCTCTGTGTCTCTCTCTGTGTCTCTCTCTGTGTCTCTCTCTGTCTCTCTGTCTCTCTCTCTGTCTCTCTCTGTCTCTCTCTGTCTCTCTCTGTCTCTCTCTCTCTCTGTCTCTCTGTCTCTCTCTCTCTGTCTCTCTCTCTGTCTCTCTCTCTCTCTCTGTAAGCTATATAGTGGCACAAGGTGCCCAGTCACTTTCCAAGCTCTTTTTGGAAAACAGGGTCTCTTTGAATTTGAAGCTCACTGACTCAACTAGCTGGCTTGGTAACCTGATGGGTTTGATGGCACCCACTTTTGCGCCCCACCAGATGTGAGGTTATAGGAACAAGCCCATCTGTTTCCGTGTGTGCTAGGGATCTAGCCCAGGTCCCCCTGTTTGGGTGGCAGGCACTCTGCTGACTGATCCATCTCTCCAACCCTCCTCTCAACTTAATGACTGTTCAGGGCCTGCAACTCAGTTGAGGAGATCGGCACTATCTCTTTATGATCTACTCTAGATGACAAACTTCCAAAATTTCCAGAAAACTGGCATCAAAGCATCAGGCATAACAGTTGTTTTCCAGAGACTGTGAAAGTACACTGTAGTTAAATGAAGATGGGATCTGTCTACTGTCCACTGCTGATGCACAGGGGTTGGCCTATGCATCTTGCCCCGGGAGCCCCACTGGCACTTTCCAGAGCACAACAGAAAGGACAATGACTTGCTTGTTGTCTTACCTGTGAAATGGTTTCGGGTGGTTCATTGTAAGTGGCCGTGTATCATAAGAACTCTGCGTTGCATTAATGCACACAGTTCGGGTTTCTCTTTCAAACACCTCTTGGATGAAGAGAGTACAGTTGATGATCTCACCGCTTGCTCTCACTGGAGAGCCCGAGTCCACTAAGATCTCAAGAGCATCCCTGGCACTGGCACGCAGCTTTGCAGGCTTTAAGCCTGAGGGGCCTGAGGGATTGGTTTGATCCTTGACAAGCAGACTCAGGACACTTCCCTAGCTATTGGTGGCAGCCACCAAATAGCCATATTCTACACCCAGGGGCAGGGTAAAGTCACGGTTTCCAGCCCTGTATGCACAATGGCTCCATCTCTCCTAATCTCATAGTTTCTGATCTGGCCATGTGGGTTTCCTGGCGGTTTCTATGTAATCTCTATTGATTCAGAGCCCGTGACTTGCAGTACTGGGGGGGGGGGGCTCCGTGTTATCTGGTGGGGCCTCCATCGTCCACGTACGTGCAGTCCGACTGGTAGTGCATCCTCTATTTGTGCAGGTCACGAAGGAGCTCTGTACTGAGTAAAAGGCTGCAGGCTGGAAACCAGAAAGGACAGACCCTGCCCAGCTGTCTACTCCTGGCCATCATATCTCAGCAAATACTTAGTAATCTTTCCATTTTGCATTGATGGCGGGGACCAAGACACATTTATGTGGCTGGCACCGATGGCCCAAAGAACTGGAGGACTGACTCCTGACGGAGGTGCTTCAGGGGTGGTGATGGGATCGGGTTTGCTGGTACAGCAGCCGCCACTGGAGCAGGCGAGGTCTGCTTAACTGTAGGTTGAAAAGGGAAGCAGCTGGCTGTCCATGTAGTTGAAGGTGCTGGCATTGAAACTGAAAGGTAGGGTCACTTCATTCCTTTGAAGTCCGTAGGGGTGGGATTAGACCGTTAGACCCTGGGGGTGGGATCCAGGAAATCAGCAGTATGGGGGGGATTCATAGACACACAGGATGTCTCAGGTGGAGAAAGGCCTTCTGGGGGTGCTTGCAATGCCCTTAGTGCAATCCAAGAGCTACAGGTGTGCCCTGCAGAATTCCACGTGCAGGTTCTGTAAGCATATTGCCTCCGTGGCTGTAGACCCGTGCCATTATACACCCAAGCGTCCATTTCTATGTTGTATTAGGTGAAAACAATGTCTTTACCCGCCTGAGTTGTCCCATGGCCCCAATCCTCTCTCTCCAAGTCTCTGCGGTGAATCACTTCATGATGCATTATCTTCCCATTTGGGTTAGCTGGCTGAGACCAGTATAGCGTCACACTCGTGGGCTCCACAGACTGGATGGTAGGAGCCAGCTGAGTGTCTGGAGGGGCTTCGCCTGTCCAGAGGGGCTGGGGTTCTGAGTGGGCACAACCTGCTGCTGTGCAGGCCTCCAGGGTCAGAGTGTAGAGGGTGACGGGGTCAAGCGTCTGAAGAGAAGCCATCAGCCCAGGCCAGAGCACTCCAGGAGCCCATCGCCGAAGATGCTGTGTCCCTGCAGGAGGAAGAGAAGATGTCAGTAGTGCCGGGTTCTTGGTGCAGCTATTTAGTCTGTCTAAAGCTTTTACACCTGCCTGCCTGATCCCACGGGTCCTAAGTCATCAGCATTCAAACGCCGACTTTAGACATGGGATCTGCCATAGCCCGTGTGAAGTCCACAGAAAACTTTTTAAAAGGTTGCATAAAACCTGAGCATTGACCCAAACCTCAGGCTGGGGAAAGCTATGGCTTATATAGTGCTCATGAGGTTTGAATGGCAGGGAGAACATTCAAATCTCCTATTTATAGACATTCCATGCTGCTGATCTCATCCTGACTAGGGTTCGTGGGGTTTAACTGAACAGTCTGCCTTCCTCTGTGCTTTCTGTGAAATGGAATTAGATTGCTAGTCGTCCTTGTTGCAGGGTGCTCGGGTTGAAAGTGTGTATCTACATGTATATGTATGTGTGTGCAGGATCACGTCATGTCATGCAAATGTATACATATATAGTCACATGTGTATATGCAATACACAGACACACCTTTACATAGATTTTATGACAGGGGAGACAGAAATGCTTTGTTTTCTCTTTGAAGTCATAGAAGAATTGATTGTTTCTTTGTTGGTGTTTGCCCTTGGTCTGGGTTAAGACCATGGCACTCATCAGACCCAGAGTTTTAACCTCTACAGCAATCTTTTGTAATTACTGACAAGTGCTATCAGCTGGTCTTCCTTTAACCCTTGTCCATGGTCCTCTATTAGGTAATTATGAAATAGTAACTCTATCTCCCCCATTGCATTTGCCCTCTCATTGTCCAAAGTAATCATTATACATCTTATCCTCCCTCCACGTCAACGCCCTCAGGGCTGGTTGTTGACATGCCACATACTTCAGTTGAGACACAGATGAAGTTAGAAAGGTGTGCTTTCATACTACATATCGTTTCCTAGACATGTTTTCATTCTTGTGGATCCCGAGGCTCATACTCCAGTTGTCCTCTGACTTACAGGATCTCAGCTTCCAGGTTTTACCCACCTTCTGGTGAGAAGACGTTAGGGCAGCCATTTTCTCAACTTTCAGTTTGGTATTCAACAAATTATACAGCTAACACTTCATATTATAAAATAGTCTTTGTGGGAGATGATTTCGGTCCTCTGTAGGCTAATTTAAGTGTTCAAAAGAATAATTAAAGTAGGCTAGGTCGAACTCCAGTACTAGGGACGGTTATGTGTTCAGCATACATTTTCAGTTCGATAATATTTTCAGCTAGCAATGGGTTTCTTTGGATGTATCCCAGGGTAAGCTAAAGAGTATCTGTGGTCAACCTGGCTTCTGTCCCTATGACTGAAGTATCTATGCTCAATTAAAGGGCTCCCATGCTGTCAGTCCCTCCTTTTCTAAGGACTCTACTCTTGGAATTATTCCTAGTGTCTCCCCCATCACAACCCCCTCTTCTGGCTATTTCCATTAGTGTTTAAGTGTGCTCTAGTATCCCATTGATTTTTACATAAAGGTCTCAACACCCCAATCACCTGGCTACTCGCCCATTTCTCTGCTGTCCTTCCCACTTCAGGGAGCCGCCATCTTCCCTTTCTTGATCACATCTTTTCCAAAAGCCACTCCTCTCAGGTGTCTCTCTCCCACGTGATCTCACCACCAAGGCCCCAGTGACCTCAGTCCAGGTCCACTTTTCCATCCTCATGACACTTGTCACCTCAGCAACATCCAACACCGTTCTCCTCACGTTGGCACGCATGACTCACCTATTCTTCCTCACCGTCTTTGTCTCATTTCCCTATCTCCTGACTACTTTCCTCTTCATGACTTCCAAATTTCTAGCACCCTAGGGCTTGACCCCAGGATCTCCTCGTCCCTAGCTACATTCTCGCTACGGTGATTCTGTACATCACCATGGTTTTAAACATGGTTGCCTACTAATCTGGCATCTGGCAGATGCAGATCTCATGGACATCTTCTAGTGAGTTCTGAACTCGGACTCTGACTAGCTACTTGCCCCTCAAACCTGTTCCTCTTCCAACTTTCCCTTCCCAACTAGCCAACACCTCAGGGTCAAGGACCAAAAGGCAATCTGAAGGGTCACTAGCTGTCTTTCCTTCACGCCTCCATCCGGCCCATTAGCAAAAATCTCTTCCCTACCTTCCACATACATTTCCAACACCCCCATATTTCTTGGCTTCACGGTTTCTACCATCTAATTTGAATTCTATGCTGAATTCTCCAATAGACTCTGAACTCTACTAGTCCCTCACAGGTCATGAGTGTGCAGCCGGAGTGAGAAATTTGATCATGGTATCCCTTTGCTTAAAGCCTTCAGGAATGTTTCATTGAACCCTGAGCAACCTCCCTGCTTCTTGTCACAGCCCTTGTCGAACAAGGTTGGGCCCACCCTGCCTCCAGTCTCTCTTGGTGCCATCTTTCCAACGCTCCATCCACACAGGCTTTCTTCCGTATCCTTGAGCACACCAAGGTCATTCCTGCCTTAGGGCCTTGCATTTGCTGTTCATTTTGTCTGGAACATTTTGCCCCCATATCTTCACATGACTGCCTCTGTCTTGTCATTCAGGGCTCAGCTCAAATGTCAACTCAATTCAAATGATTATCCATTTTAAAATAGCCTGAGCAGGCATAATTACATGACACTATTTAATTTTCTTTATAGCATCCATGGCTCTCTGAAATTCTCTTGCTTGTTTATTTACCAGCCTACTGTTTGTGCCTCTGTCCCTCTTTGACTCAACCTGCCCCTGCATTTATTCATACCCATGGAAGGGGCCTTGACAGCAGGAGCCTTTTCTGTCCTGTTCACTCTTGAATAAGTGCACGGCACTTAGTAGAAGCTCAATAAATATTTGGTGAAATGCAGATGAAGGGAAGGGGAGTCAATATTCCTCTTGTCAATCATTCTCGAGAGAGGCGGTCGCTGGGAGGGGAAATAAACACAGGAGTTTAGGTGGGCTCCATTGCCTGGGAGGGTCTGGGAGCTGAGATTCATGACTTCAGACTGGGCATTTAGGCCACTTGCCCTGGAGGACAGTTTGTCTGAAGTCTGCTGGTGGGGAGTGGCTTGCTGGTGGGGAGTGGCTTGCGGTGGGGCGTGGCTTGCTGGTGGGGCGTGGCTTGCGGTGGGGAGTGGCTTGCCTCCGAGTGACCTTCATTGGCTGCAAGGCCTCCAGCTATGCTGAGGGGCAGCCCAGAGAAAGGCTTAGGAGGCTGGAGCTGGCTCCAGGAGCCCTGAGCTACTGATGCCATTTCCTGTCTCCTTCTTCTAGGGCCGAGGAGGAGTTGAAGCTCAGTCTTAATTGTTTCGTGTGGGATTGGCGTGGGCATCCCCACCCTCTGTGGAAAGCGGTAGGGGCAAACAGTGGATCCGGCAGCTGTGGCGGGGGGCTCTGCCATCCTGACCCCCGGAGGGACCAAAGGAGGAAACAGAGGGGAGAATGGGTGGGAAAAAGCTGCTAGCCCTGGAAGAACATCAACATGGCGGGGTGGGTATACCTCCTCGTATCGGTAAGTGTCCAAGTGTGGCCTGTCCATGGGGATTCCACCTCCTTCACACCCCAAGGTTGGTGAGGCTGGGCTTCACGCGTGGCACTTAAAGGCATGTGTGAGCAAAGGAGTTAGCGAATTAGGCAGTGTGAGTTAGCTAAGGCTTAAGGAAATAACCTAAAATAAGGCATCGAGGAGGCAGTGAGGTCAGGGTCATGCGGCGTTCAGAGATTTGGGGGCTTCCTTGGCTTCAAGTCCCGCCTCATCTTTGGCAATATTGCCTGAAGCATCTGCTTAAGCGTGCAGCCTCCTGAAGTTTAGTGGGCCCCACCTAGTGGGGTTGACGTGTGGATTAAATGAGGCAACCTCAGCACACCGCTGGGCCCATGTCAGCCCCCTGCCCCCAGCTCTTCTTCACTGATCTAGGGTGAAGTGCCTAGAGGAGCCATCAAGGAGAATTAAACCAGCTTCCCAGTGACCTGATGGCATGTCAGGGCACATCTATTTATCTGGAAGATGACCAGTGTGATTTCCCATACAGGATGGACTCTACCTTGATCACTCCATTGGTTCTCACTGGCTCCACCGGAGCAGCAAAGCCTGGCCGTTCTCTCTCTGGTCCACTGTGAAGTTGGTCAGTCCTCTTGGGGGAAGAGTCTAAAGTTTTAACCAGAGTCCAGGGGCTTGACCCTTGTCCTGCACTGTTCACAGCGATCACACCCAGGCGGTATGTTGTAGATGGTTCTAGCCAAAAAGATGGGCTTGATGGCTTGTTCCCTGTAAGGAAGACAGCAAGTTAGGTATTCTCTAGAAGCCAATAGAAGGTTGCTCTCTGGACTGCACGGGCACGTCAGGACGCCTGGTGTTAACAATGGCACAGGTGCACATCAAAGGCTTGAACTGGTGTTGAGGAGACAGGAATGCTCTTTCTGCTCTGCCTGTGTTTCACTGACTACATCAACTAATGCAGTGGTTCTCAACCTGTGGGTCACATATCAGATTTTTACATTGTAACTCATAACAGTAGCAAAATTAGGAAGTAGCAGCAAAATAATTTTATCGCTGGGGGTCACCACAGTATGAGGAAGTGTATTAAAGGGTCACGGCATTAGGAAGGATGAGAACCACTGAATTAATGACTTCAGATATGTGGAAAAGTTGTATCAGATGGGACCTGGGGATTTTCAGAGCTTGAAACCTACAAATTGTGATGTCCACAATGAGCACTGCATTTAGCTTAACGATGATCAGTGGCCCCAAGTTGCATCCTAGCAACTGTGGGAAGTGGCCAGTAGGTTAGTCGGAAGCCTTTGTGAGACTTAGCAGGAGCAGTCCTAAGCCTCTAATCCTCAGTGCTGCTTATTTGTACGTGAGACCCCCCCAGCCTCTCGAACTCATTGTGTGGCTGTGCATTTTTATCTTACAAATTTGATAAAACAAACACAAGAAAACAGCAATGAGCCCATTGAACTATCAAAGTACAAACACCCTTGGAGAAGCCTGTTATTAATCTAAATGTGAAATTATTCCTATTTGTCTGAAGCAGCGTAACTAAAACCATGAAATGCCCCAAAGTGATTGTTATCTAGGCCTCGAGAATTTCCTCTTTGTTGATCTAAAGGAAAAAAGGGATAGCAGAATTACTTTTGTTTGTTTGTTTGTTTGTTTGTTTCTTGCTCACTGAGAGACATTTAACATATTTTGCATAACTTAACAGGAGCTAAGAATCTCAACATTCTGAGAGACCCTGGGGTGCTCTTGCCAATCTGGGCTGGATGGATGGATATGCCTGTTTAAGGTAGGAATTATGCCTGCAACAGGGGTAGGAACATCTGCACGAACATACACACACACATATACACACACACACACACACACAACACAACACACACACATACCACACACACATACACACACCACACACACACCACATACACTACACACACACCACACATGCAACATACACACTACACACACCATACACACACACAGGCATATCACATACCACACACATACAACACACACACCACACACATGCATACCACATACCACACATACCACACACACCACACAATACCACATACACACAATAGACACATGCATACCACACACCACACACACATCACACACATACCACACACACATGCCACACACATTATACACACACACCACACACACATCACACACATACCACACACACATATACCACACACTCACCACACACACATACCACACACATTATATACACACATCACACACACTACACAGACACAACACACATACAACATACACAATACACGCACCATACACACACGTGCACACACACTCATATCACAAACCACACACATCACACACTTATACCACACACATAGCACACACAGCACACATAACACACACTACACACCACACACCCACATGCATACCATACACACACCGCACCATACACATACCACACACACACACAGCTTACATATGCACATACACATATACACACCACACATACACACACATGCATGCACACACACAACACACAAACAACCCCCCCACACACCACCCTCTCCCTACACACACAATTTTGAGAGGGGATATTTTCTATTAAGATCCATAACCACTAAATATCAACAACCATGACTAAGTTTTGACTGAGTGATGATATTTACATGTAATGATATATGTCATCAGCTTGGGTTTATCAGATGTTTAAATGTGACATTGATAGTCCATCAAGCATCTATTTTTCTTGATGGGTGAGGGCAGGGAGAGGAAGTTATTTCTCAGGGTAACTGGCTGAGAACATAGGCACAGTTATTAGGAAGGATTTCTCCTTAATTTGGAATCTTCCAAGTGTCATTTTGAATGAAACTGAAAAACATAGATAACCAAAAGACTGTAGACATACTCTTTAATTCTTTTCTCCCATTCTTGGTTTTAAGTTTTGACTGAGCAATCTCTCTTTATTCTGTGAGAAAGCTGGGCGGAGAAAATACAATTTCCTTTATGGACGTGAGACTCCTGAAGTCAGTTTTCCTGTTTCAGTACGTTCCATTATGATATTACATGCTAACCTCCTGAAATCCTTTAATATTTAAACATTTGCTAAGCGGCCGGACTCTGAAACAAATTTTACAGAAATATTAATTTCTCTTTTTTAAAATATTAAAAGTTAGATCATGAATATTTAAAAACTTATTTCTCCACAACATCGGATTGGTCTTTTAGATAAATATAGCATCAAACCGGGATGACCACATGAATATTAAATCTGACAATGCTCCCAGTCCTGATTACAAACACTCTTTTCTGACAAATGATTTCTTTTCTCTGGAAATAGGGCAAACATGGGTAAGATTAATAATGCAAAAAAGAATAATTCTTTGTTCAGAAGATTTGGTAATAGATGCCAGGAAAGCAGAGGCCCCGAAGTGAACTGGAATCGCCTCTAACAGATTATAGATGAGAAAGCAGGCTGTTGGGGCACACTTAGCGACAGTTTTTGTCACCAGAAACTGGAAAAGCATGTGGGCCATAAAGCAAAACCATATGTATATTGTCAATAGTGGCACCTGCTCCATTACAGTTTATTTCATAGCAGAGACTTCCGTTCAGCCCCTAGATGGCAATACTATCAAACACTTTCCGTAACACGAGTACTTAATGATTAACAGCCGGCTGCTCTATCTTCCAACATACTCCCAGCAACCATTAAAAAAATAACAGAACTGATTTCATTATAGATTCCTTTTAATAAACATTTATGGCTCAGATCCTTGAAAGCGAAAGTATTCAAAATGCCCCTGCCTCAAAACCTCCACCATCTAGTGTGGAAACACAGCCTGTGCGTCTGGAGCTCCTGCGTGCCTGGTACAGATGTGTCAAGGTGTGGTCTTGCAGAAGGTGATTTTAACAGTGCTTTTCTTAGTCGGGCTTCCATTTAGCTTACACTACATAAATGCAGTCACATTTCACTGAAGAAGAGTTCTCTTGTTACTTTGTTATTTCTGAAGCCCAGCCACCCCCTCACCCCTTACCCCCCCACCCTCTTCACTTTTCTCACATTCCCTCCTCTTTTCCAGATTTTACGTTTGCCTCCTCCCTACTTTTCTCCTTTGTCTGTTTGCAGCTGGGTACTTCTTCTCCTTCCTTTTTTATTTTCATTATTGTATTCTCTCCCACTTTCATTACCCTCTCCTATCATTTTAACTGTTAAGCAACTTTGTTTTTTGAGGCAGAGTCTCATGTATCCAAGACTGGATTTGGAATTGCTATGCAACAGGGAATGGCCTTGAACTTTCAATTCTGGGCCCCGCCTTGAGTGATGGAATTAGCAGCATGCACCACCATGCTCCCCATGGTGCGGGGTTGAAGCCAAGATTTCCTGTGTGTAAGGTACGCACTCCACCGCCTGAGTGGTGTCCCCTCCCCTGTTGGTTCTCTTGAGCTACATACTCTGTATCACTCACATCTGGGTTATCAACCCACATTCACTCCCCCTTTTCTTAGCCCATCCTTGTCTGTGGCGGTGACCTTCCCATAGTCTTTCTTGTAGAAATTTTTCTGCTTTTGTTACAAGCAGATGGAGAGAACAACTCCTTGGAACAAATTCGGAGCTAATCCTAATCTGCTGTCTCCACATAATAGTTCCCACGAGACTCAGCCTCTTTCACTTTTTAAAATGTATATGCAGACATGTCGGAGCTGGGATACAAATCAGTGTGTCATTTATGAGTCATGAGGACAGGACTGTCTGGAATGCCTGGCTGGCTGAGGCTGCTGCCAGTCGGAACTACATTTTAACCTCTCAACTCTGCTCCTGTGGACATGTGGAAGCTGCTTGGAGTCTTCAGCACTCTGACAGTTTTACACCATCTCCTCTGATTATTTTTGACGACTTGAAGTGCCCCAAAGGTGGCCAAGGGGTCAATAGGTTTATGTAGGTTGAAAATGATCAAAAATTACCATTGATCTGTAGCTGTCAATAAAAGGCTGCATGGGGATAGTCCCTGCACAAATGTTTAAACTGCAGAAAGCTACCTAACTTAGTCACCTTTGAGTCTATTGATCTGATGATCCAGCAGTTTCCAGAGCCTTCCCTCTGCTCTTTGTGGTGCGTTTTCACTAAGCCCCGTCTACCGCAGCCGCTGGGAAGCTTCTTTAGGCTACTTCGCAGTAATGAAGCCAACGTGCCCGGGCTTGGGGGCTGCTGTGCCCATCCAGGAGTATTATGTGTGCTTATTGCAATTTGGAAAAGGGTTAATCTTCACGGGCGCCATTCGCAGCATCCCAAGTCAAGGGGATTTCTTCTGCCTTTTATTTGCTATTCTGCTTCCTTGGCTCCCTATCCTACAATGGATCAGTTCTGGCTTATACACACGGGCCAGCTGAGGGGGTTCCTTTACCCCTCGGTTCTCATACAGGCAAAATCCCACAGAATAAGTGACTTTGAAAGGGTAGGGGAGAGGGCTCTGTTCAAAGTGTGTGTCATGTCAGCATGGCCCGAGTTCCAGCCCAGCACTACAGAAAGAGTTGCCCAGGGTCTCCTGCCCAGGCTCTCTGCCCAGAGTTTCATGTACTGTTTCCTAAAATGGGTTTAGAGGGAGCAGCTGCAGTCAGCTGGGACCCTTTTCTATGTTCTGATGCTCACAAAGTATTTTTCCAGTTTTATGAATCCAGATAATCTGACTTGTGTGTTCTGCGGGGTCATTCCCCCCTTTTCCTTTTCCATTTAGAAAAGTAACATTTGAGTTCCTCAAAGTTTGGCAGCACATTTGCATATAGTA